GGGGACTGTGGGTGACGATAGGGACAAGCAACGATATAACTGTGTTCACCAACCCACACAGAAAATGTGTCTAGTTAGTCCCCGGTGTGTCTTTTTGTGGTCGAAGGAAAAAAATAACAACCCAGAGCTATATTCCCTTTGTTTCTGTGTTGCGCTTTGCCAGACACACTATGAACTTAGTATTCTCCTTCTAAAATATGAAGAGGAACTAATCTATAACATGATGGAAGATGGGACGTCATAGAATCTTCAACGTAATTTCATTGCTCATTCCTTTCTCGCTCTTTCCTTCCGTCCTCACACTCACCAATTCCTCATTACTTTTTCCCACACTCATTCCTACCGCCGTCTTATATTTAATTTTGATAGGTTCTATCCCCCCCTAAAAAAAACAACCCAGCAAATATATAGCCAAATAAAAACCAGGAATCACCACGACCGCCTCTCCCTTCCGTCATTAAATCGAATAACCGTCGTCGTAAAAAAATATACACAAAAAATCACCATCTCCTCCTCCAATATGACAATAATTGATAAACCCCTTGATTTGAGAACACTACATTTATCTTCGAGGATCACAAAAAAAGGGGAAAATTAAAACTTATGTAAACCCAAATTAAGGAGTCTATACAGACATATTTCACAGCATAACATAATTATTGGTAACCATGTGGGTTTAAAACTATTTAAAACACTGAAGTGTTATTCAACCTCCGAAATAAACGTCCAACTCCGATAAGACTGAGCCAAGTAAGTCAGCAACCCCCAAAATTCCCCAAACTGCCCAGGTTCATGAAAACGCCCTATTCTGGTGGGGATTGAAATCTCGGTCTTCGACATTATATGCGCATGGCTCCAAATGAACCCTTTTGTTGCACACGTTTAAGATCCCTTTGTGATTGAAAATGGTCGAAGAATTGGTCGTTTGGCCGCCACCCAGACACATTTGAAACAGCAGCAACAACAACAAAAACAACAACAACAACAAAAAACGCCCCCCCCCAAAAAAAACAACAACAACAACACAACAACAACAAACAACAACCCTAAAAACAAACAACAAAACAAACAAACAAACAAACAAAAACCCGTCCTCGATTAATTCCCCACCATAAAAAATAACCCTACCACCCCTGTAAATTAGTGAGACATTCCCTTACACCTTTCTTAATTCCAAACGTATTGGCCATGTCGCACCACTGGAGCATAACCAGGACATTTAGATTTACAGGGCGGGGAGTAATGTGGGGGTAATCTACTTCCTCTTCGTCTATTGTCTACTGTCCAGTGTCCAGGCTAAGCTGTGTTATGCGCACTGCTTTAAGATCGTGGGCCAAGACACAGCAGGCCATAGAATTAGTTTACCTGGAAAAACCTAGAGGTGTCTTTTGATTCAAGTATTTTAGTATCCACAGTCAGCTAGGCGGGACATTCTTTTAGTTTTAGTAAGTGTTTTACGGCACTTGCAACACAGTAAGGTAATATAAGTGTCGAAGATTAGAGGAGCTACAAGAAAGTAACAAACACAAAAAAGAAGGAGGGGAGATAAAGAAGATAGATGTTTGATAGGAAAGAAGAAGCAAACCACACCAGAGCACCTACCAACCACCCACCTAGGTGGGACTGTCACAGCCAGACTGTACATGTTTAGCAGTAGCAACGACAGCGCAGCATACAACCAGAGGTAAGATGGAAACAGAGGAAGGTACAGGCCCAGGAAAAGATGGATAGGGTAGACGGGGGATAGAGAAACATTAATTTTGTCTAGAACAACATAACCACGCAGCAGATTATACAACAAGAAACAAGATAAATAAAGGCTTTTGTTTCTTCCCTACAAACCACAAAGTAACTTGCATGAGTAAGGAGAAGCACATCGACACAATAAAAAGTTGTTCTCAATACATTTGGTATTGTCTTGTTAGTGAGACAACTTTCTGGGCCTTTGGCACATTGTGGTACGGCGGCCAGTTCATTTCCACTCGTCTTCACTTCCCCAATGGACACTGTAACGGTAATTCAATTCTGGGAAAAAGTAAGACCAGACAGACAGAAACAACAGAGGGAAAATAAAGATGTAGGACCTACAAGTGGCATCCTCCAACCACCCGCCAAAGTAAATGAGTCCGGAAAAAAGTAAAAGTAAAGTACTTGACTATATTAACTTTGGATAAGAAAAGGTTGACGTCCAATGGCCCACCATTGTTTTGTTTTGTTTTAGTAAAGTTTTACGGCAACACAATAACGTCAAATTAATGCCGAAGATAAGAGCTGTTACAAGAGAGTAACAAACATACAAAAGAAGAAGGGGAGATTAGGACGATAGCTGTTTGAAAAGAAAGAAGAAGAAAACCACATCAGAGCACCCGCCAACCACCCATCACCATTGTTTGTATAGTATAAGGTTTTACGGCGCTCGCAACTGCTAAGGTCATATGAGCGCCACCATTGTTTGCAGCAGACTCATTTATATAATGATGGAAAACAACAGTGAGCTTTCTTCTTTCTGCAAACAGGAGCAGGGCCTAGGAACAAACACCAAGTTTTATTAAAGACAAATAGTGAAAGATTAAGGGATTAAGGAGAAATCAGAACTTGGGAGAGGAGCGATAGATTTGAGAGAGAGAGAGAGAGAGAGAGAGAGAGAGAGAGAGAGAGAGAGAGAGAG